ATCAAAAGGATTATAAAACAGTACTATGGACAAATTCATGCCAACAAAGTAGACAACTTAGATGAAATGGCAAAATTAATAGGAAGATACAAATTACCAAAACTGACTCAAGAAAGAAAACTTGAATAAACCTATAAAAAGGAAAGAAATTGAATCAGTTAAGTAAAATCTTCTGTTAAAGAAAAGCTCAGGCTCAGGTGTCTTCACTGGTGAATTCTACCACACATTTAAAGAAGAAATAGTATCAATCCTTCAAAAACTCTTCCAGAAAATAAAGGAAGAAGAAACACCTCTCAATTCACTCGAGGAAACCAGTATTACCCTGATACCAAAGCTAGAAAAAGACATCATAAAAGAAAGCTATACATGAATAGAATAAAACGCCTTCATAAATTATTAGCAAACCAAATCCAAAAATATTCAAAACAGGTTATACACCATGACCAAGTGGGACTTGTCTCAAGAATGCAAGTCTGGTTTAACATTTGAATGTTTAATATTGTAGTACATCATATTAATAGGATAAAGGGAAAAAATGATATGAGAATCTCAGTAGATACAGAAAACACATTTGACAAAACCCAACACCCATCCAAGATAAAAGCTCTTGAAAAAATAAGAATAGAAGGGAACTTCCTCAAACCAGTGAAGAGTATCTTGAAAAATCTACAGCTGAATCATACACAGTGGTGAAGGACTGAATGCTTTTTGCCTAGTATCAGGAAAAAGTCAATGATGTCTGTTGTCCCTTCTATTTAACTTTGCATAGGAGGTCTGAGCCAGTGAAATCACTCAAGAAAAAGAAATAAAAGGCATCCAGATTAGAAAGGAGAAGTAACTGTCTTTATTTTTCAGAAAATATGTAGAAATTCCTAAGGAACACATATACACCTATAGAGCTAATAAATGAGTTCAGAAAAGTCTCAGAAAACAAGATCAAAATGCAAAAATTAGTTCTCTTTCTCTACACTATGAATGTATGATCCAAAAACGAAGTTTAAAAAACATTCCTTTCATCAACAGCATCAAAGAGGAAAAAAATTTAACAAAAGAAGTGTAAACAACACACTGTACACTGAAAACTACAAAACTCAAACTAGAGATCTAAATAAATTGAGATACATTCCATATTCACAGAACGTGGCAATTCTCCACAGATCAATGCAAACTGTCAAAATCCCAGCATAGGTTTTTTGCAGAAATTTACAAGCTGATCCTAAAATTTATATGGAAAAACAAAAGACACCAAACAGCTAAAACAATCTTTGAAAAGGTGAATAAAACTGACAGCTTATATTTCCTTATTTTAAAAACGCTTAGTATAAAGCTATAGTAATCACAAGACACTATCACAAGATAGTGTGACAGCATGTAAAGGTAAACATACAGAGCATAACATATAACATACAAAGGTAAACATGTAAAGCAACAGAACACAACTGAAAGTCCAGAAAGAAATTCTTACATTTATAGACAACTGATTTCTGACAAAGGTGCCAAGGTAACTCAGTGGAGAAAGGGTGATCTTTTTTTAATTTGAGAGAGCGAGAATGAGAGATGGAGAGAGAGCACATGAGAGGGGGGAGCGTCAGAGGGAGAAGCAGACTCCCTGCTGAGCAGGGAGCCCGATGCGGGACTCGATCCCGGGACTCCAGGATCATGACCTGAGCCGAAGGCAGTCGCTTAACCAACTGAGCCACCCAGGCACCCCGGTAATCTTTTTTTAAAATGGAGCTGGGGCAACTGGCTATCTATATGCAAAAAGAAAACTTTAGATCCTTAGCTCATACTTTTCCAAGAATTAACTCAAAAAGGAATCACAGACATAAATATAAGAGCTAAAACTATACAAATTTTTAGCAGAAAACATAAAAGCAAATCTTGTGATCTTGTGTTAGACACAGAATTTTTTGATACAACATCAAAAGCGTGATCCATAAAAAAATTATAAACTTATTGCATCAAAATTAAAATGTTCATGCTTCAATAGATACTATTTTAAAAAGGCAAGCACAAATTAGGACAAAAAGACAAAGCCATATATTGGGACAAAATATTTCTAAATCATATATGTGATAATGGACTTTTATCCAACAAAGAACTCTTACAACTCAATGGTAAGATGATGACCCAATTACAGAATAGGTAAAGATCTGAACTGACCAACGGCACATGAAAAGATGCTTAACACCACTAATCATCAGAAAAAATGCAAATTACAAACATAGTAGATACAACTGATAATAACAAGTGTGGGTGAAGATGTGGAGAAACTAAAATCTTCTTACTTTGCTGTCTAGAATGCAAAATGATGCAGTCGTTTTTGGAAAACAATGTCACAGTTCTTAAAAAGTTAAACATATATTTTACCATAGTACCCAGAAATCCCTAACCATACAATGGAATAATGGGGCAATTATTAAAAAAATTAGTGATCTATAAGGCATGGATGAATCTCAAAAATATTATACTATATGAAGAGCCAGACAAAAGACCATACTGAAATTTATATGAAATGCCCAGAAAAGGCAAATCTAGAGACAGAAAGGAGACTGGAGATGGGACTGGGGAGTGAATGAAAATGGGTACAAAGGATCTTTTTTGTGGGTGTCAAGAACATTCTAAAATTGGATATGGTGATGTCATGCAATGTTGTAAATTTACCAAAAAGTATTAAGTTTTACACTTTGTAAATTTACCAAAAAGTATGAAGGGAAAACTGTATCAAAGTAAAGGGTGCAAAATAGGGGCGCCTGGGTGGCTCAGTTGGTTAAGCGTCTGCCTTCAGCTCAGGTCATGATCTCGGGGTCCTGGGATCAAGCCCCGTGTTGGACTCCTCGCTGAGCAGGGAGTCTGCTTGTCCCCCCCCCCAACTTGTGCTCTGTCTCTCTCTCAAATAAAGAAATAAAATCTTACCAAAAAATTTTTTTTAAAAAGGGCCGAAAATAGCCAAGGCATTTATGAAGAACAGCATTAAACTATCAAACCATATAAAATCCAGTAAAGTTCCAGTAATTGAGACAGTATTAGAGAAAGAGAGAAATGAAGCAGAAAAGATACCCCAGAAATCAATCTTTGTTTGAAGGAAACTTATATATAATAGAAGGAGCAGGCATTACAGACCAGTGGGGAAAGGGCAGTCTTTTCAGTTGAGGTGCAGGGAGGCTGCTTATCTGTATATGGAAAGAGGAAAAATTAGGTCCCTACCACATACCATTCAAAAAGAAGTCAATTAGTCTTAATTCTTTTCTCCTTATAGCCGCAACCACCCTCTTTTTCATGTAATTCAGCAGTTCCTCCCATGTGGAAAGTATAAGTAGAGTGTACTTCCTACTTCTTGACTTTGGGCTTGGCTGTGTAACTTACTTAGGCCAATGGGTTGTGAGTAAATGTGATGCATACAGCCTTGGGCTTCTGTCAATGCCACGAGAGGAACACATCCCAGTTAGCTCACTGGTCCCAGGAGGAGACTGAGACCAACATGGAGCAGAACCATCCTAGTCAACCTGTTTCATGAAGCAGAGCCAACCCAGCCAAAGCCAGCCTAGACAGGCCCGGACTACTGCCAGCCAATCTGCAGATGCATGGAAAAAGAAATGTTTATTTTTATATGCTAGTGAGAGGCTTTTGGTTGTTAACACCATTATGGTGTTAACTGATACATTTTCCAAAGGAGTAAAAAATAAATGTAAAAAGCAAAACTCCAAAACTTAAGAAGATTGCCAAAAGAAGTAATTCTGCTCATTGAGGCACTTCAGAAAAACGGAAAAGACAGCCCACAAAATGGGAGACCTGCCACACATACCTCATAAAGGATTATATCAGGAATATATAAAATCAATTTATAAAGAATGATCAGCCCAAAAGAAACATAGGCAAAAAACACTAACAGGGATTTCACCAAAAATGAAACTCAAAGCTAGTAAGCATAAGAAAAGATGCTGAATTTCATGAAAAAAAGCTATGTGACATCATTTTTATGCCCAATAAACTGAAAGTCTTGACAATACAAAGTATCGGCAAGTATAGAGCAACAAGAGTTCTTTTACACAGTCTGTGGGAGTATAAACTGTTCTAACTACTTTAGAAAAGATTGGTATTATCTTAAATTTTAAGATGATACAATTCTACTCCTTGGTTTATTTTATATCCAGAATAACTCACACACATTTACATCAAAAGACATATATATAACTATTTATAATACTTCGTATTTAAAAAATTGAAAATAACCTAAATGTTCATCAGTAGTAGAATGACTAAATAAATTTTGACATATTCATAGAATGAAATGCTATATAAAAGTATAAATTAATGAGTAAGAGCTATGTGCATCTACATGTACGAATCTTAGAAGCATAATGCTGAGGAGTACCTGGGTGGCTCAGTCGGTTCAGTGTCTTACTCTTGATTTCACCTCAGGTCATGATCTCAGGGTCATGAGATCAAGCCCTGCATCGGGCTCCACGCTGGGCATGGAGCCTGCTTGGATTCTCTCCCTCTCCCTCTGCCTCTCTCCCCTGCTCGCTTGCTCGCACTCTCTCTCCCTCTCCCCCAAAAGAAGTATAATCTTGAGTGAAAACAGCAAGTCACCAATAAATACACAGAATATTTATTGTTTAAATAAAATCCAAACTGTTTAAATAAAATCCAGACACAAGCAAAACTAAATACACTATTTAGTGCATCATACACATTTGGTAAATCTACAAAGAAACAAAAGAGAATAAAAATACAAAAGAGATGTAATGTATGGTGATTAACATAACAATAAAAAATTTAAAAAAAAATACAAAAGATAGTGACAAACCAAGAGAGGGAAGCAGGTCCAAGGAGACAGACATATATATCTATGTATATGTATCAAATATTTTTTAATTTTTTAGCGGGGGAAGATAAAAAGATTTCTATTTTAGAAAATGGAAAAGTCCTACGTTTCCAAGACAACTTCTAGAGATGTTTCAGAGAGAAAAAAGAAATGTGCTAAGGGCTAATTTTACCTTTTTTATGCCTTTTATTTTCATGATGACTTCTTTTCAGTATCCAAAACCTAATACGAAAAAAAAAAATCACACAATCATTTTTATGTATCAATGTCTAATTCAGATACATCATAATGCTCTTGTAATTGTCTAGTGAGTCCAATACTATTTATCCTAGTAATCATCTAATATTTACTATAAGGCCTGAAAGATGACTTTTACATCTCTCTTTTTTCCATATATACTTCATACTAATAACAAAATAATTGGTATGACTTTAATTCCAGGGTAAGCCTTCAATTTTACAACCTAAAAATACCCAGAAATAAGCACCTTTGATTTTCTAGTATTTGCATACGCTCAAGAGAACTTTCTGCCACAAGATGATAAGGCTTGGTTCCAAGAGAATCTTTTATTTTCGCTTATATTTCAATTTAATTTTGAAGACACTGGGGCGCCTGGGTGGCTCAGTCATTGAGCGTCTGCCTTCGGCTCGGGGCAGGGTCCTGGGATCGAGCCCCGCATCAGGCTCCCTGCTCTGCAGGGGGCCTGCTTCTCCCTCTCCCACTCCCCCTGCTTGTGTTCCCTCTCTCGCTGTGTCTCTGTCAAATAAATAAAATCTTTAAAAAAAAAAATGTTTAAAAAAATTCTGAAGACACTAATTCCAACTAACATACAGGAAACGAAAGAATATAAATGACTATTATTTTTCAATTATCTAATCTTCATTGAAAGAATATTTGAAGAAAACTTTTTTTTTAAGATTTTATTTATTTGAGAGAGAGAGCAAGCATGAGGGGAGGTGGGCAGAGGGAGAGGGAGAAGCAGGCTCCCCGCTGAGCAGGGGCTTGATGCGGGGCTCGATTCCAGGACTCTGGGATCATGACAAGCCAAAGGCAGATGCCTAACCGACTGAGCCACCCAGACACCCCGTGAAGAAAACTTTTGAAATAACTACTTGAGTATGTTTTGATGTAACTCTAAAAATATTTGCCATCCAAAGATTCTTAGCTTTCCTTCTAAGAGTGTAACAGGAGTACTAGTTCTTCTATTTACTGTTTTCCTTTGGTTAGCTTGGCTACTAAGGTTGCTAACACACTGAAGGTTTGAAGAACATTCCAATTTATACCTATTGCTTGGGACATTTGGGTGGCTCAGTCGGTTAAGCGTCTGCCTTCGGCTCAGGTCATGCAGGGTCCTGGGATCGAGCCCTGCATCGGGCTCCTTGCTCAGCAAGGAGTCTGTTTGTCCCTCTCCCTCTGCCCACCTCCAATCCCCCTCCACCCCCGCCCTGCCGCTTCATGCTCTCTCTCACTTTCCCTCTCTCCTCTCAAATAAATAAATACAATCTTTAAAAAAATGTTTATACCTATTGCTTGTATAAGTATAAACTGGAATGTTTTCACCAGCAATAAGTATAAATTTTCCTTTAAGCTACAAAAAATATATACAAATGAATAATAATTTTCTAAATGGAATTAAATTCTAAGACTGTCAGTCCTAATATATCCCATATGGTAACCTTAAAAAACAGTGTGTTTTCAAAATTCTTACCCTTAGTTCAAATATATTCTTTAAAAAAGAAAAACAAAAATTAAAATTGTACTTACTTTGGCCAACAATTCTTGTGTTTCAGGAGTCAGTGGAGAATGTGAAAACTTGCAATATTCACCCTGATAACATTTTGTTCCTGTATGGTAAAACTTGCAAGGATATTCATGTAATCCAAATGTTAAGGAAGAGAACAACTTTAATCCAATAATTTATTAATTTACTGACTTTATTTTCCCTATATAAAGGCCTTTCCTAATAGCAGAAACACTAAATTCTCTATTTAAAATATGAGACAATAGATTATTAACTGAATCACATGAAACATCTAATTTTAGAATAATTATATAAATCAAGTTTAATGGCTATCATAGGATACTTTTCCTTCATATCCATTTTTATAATAAACTACAGGCAGATTTCACTGATACAAGAAAAAGGATATGCATTTTAAATACATCAAGAAATGTGATTATTTTTAAAGCATTCTTTTGGGGTGGGGGAATTAAAGTCAGTAACAATGATAGGTCTTACAAATCTGAAGCCTTCAGATACAAGGCCGTTTAAAATAGGATCAATTTAAACAACTTCAATATTATTTTCTAGGAAAAAACTCTCAAGTTAGAATTTCAGATTCCTTCTATTGAATCACTGAAGGAAAACAACTTTTGTGGTGCCCAAAGGTGCTATTACCCTAAAACGTTTATGTTCCATGTTTTTACAACATGTCTATACCATATGCACTGAAGAGTTAGGGTTATTTTCCAAATTAAGGGACAATTAACCTCTATTCAGTACAGAATATACAGAAAATAAGTACTCTCAAATTATGCAATTCTTGCTTCTTTTTTTGTTTTTTAACAAAGTAGCTTATATGAAGGCACCTACCTGGCTCAATCAGTAGAGCATGCAATTTTTTATCTCGGAATTTTAAGTTTGAGTCCCACACTGGGTGTAGAGATTACTTAAAAATAAAATCATTTAGGGGCGCCTGGGTGGCTCAGTCGTTAAGCATCTGCCTTCAGCTCAGGTCATAATCCCAGGGTCCTGGGATCCAGCCCCGCATCCAGCTCCCGGCTGAGCGGGAAGCCTGCTTCTCCCTCTCCCACTCCCCCTGCTTGTGTTCCCCCTCTCGCTCTGTCTCTCTCTCTCAAATAAATAAAATCTTTTAAAAATAAAAAAATAAAAATTAGGGTGCCTGGGTGGCTCAGATGGTTAAGCGTCTGCCTTGGGCTCAGGTCATGATCCCAGGGTCCTGGGATCGAGTCCCGCGTCGGGCTCCCTGCTCCTTGGGAGGCTGCTTCTCCCTCTGCCTCTCTCTCTCTCTTTCATGAATAAATAAATAAATAAAATCTTTTAAAAAAATAAAAATTAAAAATTAAAAAATTAAAATTAAAAAAAAATCATTAAAAAAAACAAAAACAACAAAGTAGCTTATATGACCATAGATACAATTAGTTAATGTCACAGCAGAAATTCTGACAGTCTTTCTGGGGACTGAATAGGTCCCTCTCCTGAACCTGCTGCTATAATACCCAGGTGAAGGATCTTCATTTGAGAGAATTACTAAAGAATCCATCTTTTCCTTCTTTTTTTTTCTTTTTTTTTTTTTTAAAGATTTTATTTATTTATTTGACAGAGAGAGACACAGCAAGAGAGGGAACACAAGCAGGGGGAGTGGAAGAGGGAGAAGCAGTCTTCCCGCGGAGCAGGGAGCCTGATGCGGGGCTCGATCCCAGGACCCTGGGATCGTGACCTGACCCGAAGGCAGACGCTTAACGACTGAGCCACCCAGGCGCCCCAAGAATCCATCTTTTCTTTCATGGGGGAAAAAAAGATCTATACAATTTAACCACTTTGATACTGAGTTGGGCATGGATAACATAATTTTACCATAGCTAAAACACGGGTTTCATTCAAAATTATACATATATTAAAATGTTCAAGTAAATATTTAGAAAAAGTAAAGTTATTATACCTTGTGATAAAGGATATTATGCAAATACAGACAGTTTTCACCTCTGGTACAATATCCTTGTACATAAAACTTACACATTTCCTTTTTCTTCTCTATCTCTGCATCATGATCAAATTTACACTGGTCTCCCTGGGCCAAAAGGAACAAGGAAAAGCCATTATTTCTCAAAGTTAAGTCATTCGATTCTTACTAAACTTAAGATAAGCAAATGATTCCAGAAAGTCTTAGAAACACTAAAGTATAAAACTTTTTTTTACCACAATCTAATTCTTAAAGTTATCTTATAACCACACCACACATATCTGCTTAAAATCTTGTTAAGTCCTTAACATTTTTAACACAAAGCATTTTTTAAAAAGTATCTTTCTTAAACATAAAAGAATATTTCAATAAAGTTTTCTAGTCAAACCTTTTCTAGAAGGAAAGAGTTAAAAAATGTACAGGTATGCTTTTAGACTATCCAATGGAAACAGGAGTTGGCTTTAGTACATTTTTGCTATACTTTACATTTTAGTATATTTTTGCTTACATAGTTTTTTATACCTTAATACATTTCCTTTCAAGAAAATATTTACAAATTTGTTTCCCCTTGCGTTCCACTGTATGTTGGTTGATGAATCCCTGACTCATTCTCACATGCTGCTGCTTCTCTTTAGGTTTATCAGCCTTTGAAAACAAAAACAAAGAACTAAATGCGAGAAATAGAAATTTAAATATTTTATTCCATTGCAAAAAATTATTTTAACCACCTTTAAAACATTAAAAAGTGACTCTTCTAAATTGGCCTTCATTTTAAGATTTGAACTTTTGCACATCAGTTCAAAAATAAATATTCTGCCAATTATAACAGCATTCGAGCATTGAATATTAGTGTTTGTGCAATTTGAATATTTCATTGTACTTTGCCCTTATTTTTAAAAACTGGATAAAAAAATTTAAAAAATGAAAGTGCTACTACTTGTGATAAAAACCAAAGTCTAGGAGTGAGGCTCTTGAGAACAACAGAGACAAAACTGGAAACCATAAGGTGAACCAAAAGCAGCGTGCTCCTTAATTTCAATGAGATGCTCACTGAGTGAGAGCAGGGAATAATAACCAGCTCAAGTTAACATACATAACTACAAATATAACCTCAAAGATGGCAACAGATATAAAAACAAAAAGTGACTTTTATATAAAAACAAGAGAGGAATTTCCTAATACATTTTAGCTTTTTAGAAACATAAACCATTTTTAGTGTGTTAACCTGTGTACAATTTATAGCTTTTGCACACCAAATTTCTGAATAGTTTTAGGAATTCAGTATGTGCAAAGAAGGGACCTGACTACATTTATGTGATCTACTTTGTAATAATGTCAAATCTCCACTTAAACACCATCAAAATTATGTGTCTAATAAAGATGTGTCAGTGTAAATCTTTGGTTTTATTTGACTATGTTATTAAATTCTAACATACACGTTTACAATCCATTCCTCACGTAAAAGGGCGGTCAGCTGAATAATCATTTGAGTCAATGTAAACCAAATGAATCACAGGGAATACTGATGGGGTCAGGAAATAAAGATCCAGTTGTGGCCTGGCCCTGTGTGACTCTGAGCAGTTACCTGAACCCCCAGGGTTTCAGAGCCCTCATTTGTAAAATATGGAAGCAGGGCAAGAGTTTATATAAATATGCTTTAATCTACACTATCTGATCTTTCTAATGTTTTACCACCCCTAACTGTTGTCTTCTGGGCCAAGTCTAACAAAAAAAGTTAGTTTAGAAGCCCTCAGAAAAGCACAGTCCTTACTGTCCTATCCTGAATACATCTACAGACTAAGGAAGAAGAACTTCTACAGAGCAAAATCAAAATACCAGGTGGGTGGGGGTGTTTTGTAAGGTCACTGCTCAGAAATATTCATTTTTAATTTCCACAAGGACCGCAACAGTAAAAACTCTGTAAGACTCTGTGACTTCTGAAGTTCTCTTGGCCACTTTATCTTCTCCCCGCTTCCCCCGTTTTCCCAGCCGTTGACAGTACAACACTCCAAAATCAAGGGACTTGTGTGCATGTAGTCAGGTAGACAGGTACAACACTAAGGCTTAACACAGGTGCTGGCAGCTAACGGGCGAGAAGGAACGCAGCGGCGACAGTGACAAAGAAGAACGTGGAGAGCCCACTGATGGTGAGATTTTTCACCATCAGAGAACCCTCGTTTTGTGGCTCGTCACTGAGGTGTAAGATAAAAATTCGGCAGCATGTAGGTGTCCTCCTGCATGCCTACACTCTTGTACCTGTTCCTGCGAGCCACTGTTCCGCAGTGAAGCGTTTGATCCTTTCTGTCCAGCGCCAGCCCATTTCCGCTTCATTTTCTTCTGTTTACCATTTTTCTGAACAGCTTTAAGGTTTTTATTTTTTTGTTTAACAGCTAAAAACAAGAAAGTTAATTTGATGTGTTTAAATCTTACACACTAAGTGTTAAAAGTTTAATTTATGAGAACACAAAGGCACAACAGTAGTTTACTCTAAAGTATACTCTACAGGGGCGCTGGGTGGCTCAGTCAGGTAAGCGTCCGACTCTTGCTTGCCACAAGTCAGATCCTTTTGGAAGGTTCAGAGTATAATGGAGCCAATTAGGAATTGCCACAGCACTATAGCAGCAAAAGCTTCAAATGTTTAGAATGACCTCACATACTACTGTCAGAATTTCCATTGAAAACACTTTATAAAGGGGAGCCCGGCCGGCTCAGTCAGTAGAGCAGACAACTCTTGACCCCGGGTTGTGAGTTTGAGCCCCACACTGAGTGTAGAGATTACGTTAGAAAATAAAGTAAGAGTATTTAAAAAAAAAAGGCAGTAAAACAAGAGGATAAATTTCATCTGTAGTTGTCATCTGTCCTCATATCTACGACTAAGTTTCATTCAAGTAATCGAAAAGAACATATTTTATTTTAGTAATCTAAAAGAATATAGGGTCTGACACACCACTGTAGCAGACATTAAGTCAATTCCTCTCTAAACTGACAGCAATACAAACAGGCATATCTTGTCCTTCATATATGCAGAGGCCAAGAATTTAGCATTCTCCCTTTCAAAGCAGTCATGGCCCTTGATAATCCTCCTGTAAACTATCCATTCGTACATGGAATGTCCGGATTGGGGGGGGGGGTGGCGCACGGAGTGGGCGTCTCAGGCCATGCAAGCTCACATCTGATGTAAAGATCCATGGAAAGCATGATGTTACTATGAGATAAAATGCAGGAGAAAATCTCCCCCCTCCCCAAACCCCAGTCCATATATGGACAACTGTGACTGATTCTCTAGATAAACTTTAAATGACAAAATAGTTTCACCCTTACCTTTTTGGGTATCCTTCACTCCCTCTTTCTTCACTCTTTCTTCAGGAAATGGTAAGGATTGAGCAGCATTTGCCATTTCTTTAGCTTGTATATACTGCTGAAGCTCTTTAGCAAAATTATCTTCTGATTCCTGACTGCAGATATCATTATCACTATATACATCATAGTCCTTACTTCTTGATTTTCTATACTGCAAATTCTTCGGTGATGTTGTAGAGTTCCCAAAGTGCCTAAACTAAGTAAAAATTAAATTTTCAGTTTTAAAAAGCTGGCATGATTCAAAACAATCTGGTTATAAAAAAGAAATAAAGACGCCTATGAACTGATCTTTGTTGAGGTTGGGTGATGGGTATACGGGGGTTCATATACTATTCTTTCCACTCTTACATTTTTAAAATTTTCCAGAAATAAAAACAAAACAAAAACCCACACAACATACCCATCCTTGAAAAAAATTTGATGGAAGATTCTGAATTTGTACACTAAATGTCTTTACTAAATTAAAAGAGTAAACCCCCAAATCCTAATTATTTGATATATATTGACTGAACTACAGTATTATAATTCATATTTTATTTCTCTCTTTGCATCAACCATGCTTTTAAATGGTTTAATTCAATAACTCAACATTTCATAAAAGAATAAGTAAACTGTAAGGGCCCAAGTAAAAATCCACTATATTAAGCTACATCACACAGCTAGCAAAGCCTATTCTTTTTCCTGTAAATCATAGCGTCAGTGGCGCACACTGATGACAAGGAACAAAAAACTTCCCAGTTCTCTGTAATCGAGTTAACTTTACTTTCAGGAGTTTTCTAACTCTGTTGTTGCAGCTCCCCCAAGGCAGCAGAAGCAAACACAGACACCCACTGGAACAGGAAGTCAGGAATGGCAGCTGACCCCGAGTCAGCCTGAGATGATCACAGCAGACAACTTAAAGTACTATGTGTACAAGAATTTCCAAGTATTGGTATACATGCCAACACATGGTGACACAAGTGTATCAAGTTGTGTAATTAGTTAGTATGTCTGATACATTTTAATTAAAAGGCTTATAAAAAAATGTCCAAGTGCCAAAAGGCTCCTATTTTGATGTCAGGAAGAGATAACACATCTACCATTAAACTAGCCAATGATCCTGCTCCAGAGCATGCTTTGGAGTCTGGTCTCTTACCTACTTTCACATAACTGATGAAGGCAGCAAACTCAAAACAAAAAACAAACGAGAAGAACCTCTATTATAAAATATACTAGGGGGTCCAATTTAACGGCTTACTTTTGATGTTAACTTCAAAGCTAGGAGTTGTACCACCAGAGGATTGATCATAGGCCTATAAAATGAATTTACTCCCTGCATGAAGAAGAATCAAGTGGAGAAAGTTTCCTAACCTGACAATGGCCCCAATGTACACCTACCTCATCTTCATTATACCAGACAAGACTATCAACCAATCCAACAATATCAGGCCACCAAGTTCCCTGTCTCCAAGTTTTCAAGAAAGAGCACCTTTTAAAACTAATACCATAGAACAAACTTGTGAACAGAACATCTGGTCAGCGGTCGGCAGATGTCAACCTGGCCTCCTGCTTTTGTTAAAGTTTTGCTGGAACACAGTCACACCCATTCATTCACTTCTGTGTTATCTACACCTGTTTAGTTGTGACAGAGTCAATATGGCTCACAAAGTCGACAAGATGCACTACCTGGTCCTTTACGAAAAAGTTGGCCAATTCCTGTGATAATTATTATGTTTACGTGGTTTTGGCCTTTAATTTTATTTAGTGGGCACAGGGAGAGCTCCCATGAAGTTTGGCTTAGTCAAATACACAGAGATGAAATTCTATTCAGTATATCTGAATCAAAATATTACAATGATCCAAATGAGTGATTAAGTGCCCCTTACACACAAAATATGTACCAAAGCAGACCCCCTTTAACAGGTGATAATATATCTGATTTGTATTCAATGAAGTGATGACATGACATGGCAACACAAACAAAACTGGGACAATCATCAACTATGTTGTTTTATTATACATGAGAGGTAAGTATTACTAACTGATATGATTCTTTTCAGAGAGCAATGAATACACAAAATACAAATCATTGCTTTAATACTTTTCTTCATTCAGCTAGCTATAAACTCATTACTTTGATATTTGTTGTTCTCTTTATAATTTAGAAAGTATACAAATATACTATAACTTTCTTCCCTTTAATGAAGGAGCCTAAAGTTTTTTTTAAGCAAAAGATTTCTAATTCAGGAGGATTTATTGAACTCGTACGGCCTCCTGAGACTCCACAGAAATAAAAGTACAGAAATGTAAAAATAGCTCCATAAGATTAGTGGGGATGGGGGGACATAAAGTACATTCATTAGTAATTGAGAAAAGCTGAACAAATTCTTGACAAGTTTTTGAAAAACAAAAAGTTATAATTGGGATGTTGGGCTTCGGTTGGAGCGTGAGAAATGGGGCTATTAATGAGGATGAATGAAAATTCTACATGAAAACAGACAAAGGTATTGTAACAAATTCTCTCTGCCCCATTCCTCACCAGAATACATTCAAACAGAAATTTACCCCAGGCAAAAAAAGAGAATAAAGAAATTGACTAAAATGTTTGATAAAAGCCAAATCTTCTTCTGTGGGTACTAAGACCCCAGCGTGAAGTCATCCCCATTCTGGCATTTGGGAGCAACCCACCAGAAATATACTCCATCCATTCAACCTACAACAGAAGTTCTACCCTGCTGTCCAGAAGAGATTCCTCACAGGGGTCTACGGACAGAATTCAATGAACTTGAATGGGAATAAAAATCACACACTATTCACATCAACCTCTAAGTTGACATTTATCATTTTCCTGTTTTGAACACAGTGAACAAAGAGTAGTATCAACAGTACCTGCAACTGTCACTAGTAGAATCACAGATACTTTCATGTATCACATGACAGTTGTTGCAAATCTCAAAATATCTTTTATGTTCATCACTATGTCAAAGTTACAATAATTAGACCTACTGCTGGACTTATTATTTAGTGCATTAATGAAGAACATATTACTCTTTCCACATTTGTTTTTTTGGTTAACTGTATTTCAATAAATTTCCTTTGTAATCCAACATATTTCATTTTATTCACTTAAAAACATTATTCTGAGAAGGGGCCCATGGGCTTCACCAGACTGCCAAAAGGAGTGCATAGCACAACGAAGGTTCAGAACTACTATGCTGAAGGAAACCTCTCTATCCACACAGCCCACACATGGACTGAGGCCCAATCAGGCTTCCCATCTGGAGGAAAAGCCTATAGAGACACATGCCCACTAATACACCAGCGAAGGCATTCATTCCATCAACTCTCCTGGCCTTTCTTCAATCAAGGAACAATGAAGGAACACAAAAACACATGGCAAAAATCTAGAGCAAGTGTCATTAAACTATGACCCCAGGGCCAAATCCATCCCACCACCTATTTCTGTAATAGTCAGCAAGCTAAGAATGGTCTTTAGATTTTTTTAAATGGTTGAAAGAAAAAAAAAAAAGTAGCATTTCATGTTAATGAAAGTCATATAAAATTCAAATTTCAGCATCCATAAATAAAATTTAATGGAACACAGCCATGCTCATTCATTTACGTACTATAATAGCTGCTTTATCACACAATAGCAGAGTTGAGTAGTTGTAAAAGAAACCACAAAGATATTCAAGACATTATAGATAAAAAAGATGCTAGACAGCTATAACAACAAAAAAAAGAACAAGGAAGAACTCTTGAGGGGCGCCTGGGTGGCTCAGTCGTTGGGCATCTGCCTTCGGCTCAGGTCATGATCCCAGGGTCCTGGGATCGAGCCCCGCACTGGGCTCCCTGCTCCACAGGAAGCCTGCTTCTCCCTCTCCCGCTCCCCCTGCTTGTGTTCCTGCTCTCATTATCTGTCTCTGTCAAATAAATAATCTTAAAAAAAAAAAAAGAAAGAACTCTTGAATAGTTAAATTATGAGAAACCCACATTAGGAAATAATGCTTAAAAAAAGTAATTTATAATAGCCTCATCAAACACCTAGCAATAAATCTAACAAAAGGTATGGTAGATATAAGACATTTACAAAGAAAATTACAAAACACTGTTGAGAGAAATTAGAGGACCTAAAGATTAGACAATTCAATATTCTAAAGATGTCAATTCTCTTCCAAATGATCTGTAGATTAAATGCATTCCCAATGAAAATCCCACCAGGATTTTCCATGGAACTTGACAAACTGAATTCTAAAACTTATATATAAATGCAAAGGGTAAGAATAGCCAAGACACTTAAAGAAGAAAAACAAGGTGAGAGGATTTGCTTACCTGACACCCAAACTCATTATAAAGCTACAGTAATTAACATGGTGAGGTCTTGGGGGAGGGCTAGACAGATAAACCAGCAGAAGAGAACAGAGTCCAGAAACAAACCCATCAAACACGAACATCTGATTTTTGACAATAGTGACACTGCAGGCCAGTGAGGGGAAAGACAATTCTTTTCCCTCAGTGAATGGTGCTGGAACCAACTGGGTATGATAACAGGAAAAAAAAAGTTAAACAGAATTTGTCACCCCTACCTCACAGTATACAGATACAAATAAATTACAGACGACTACAAACGTAAATGCAAAAAGCAAAACAATAAATCTTTTAGAAGACATTATAGTAAAATATTTTTATTAAATAAAACACATAAACACTATAAAGAAGATTAATAAATTTGAATACACTAAAATTATGGACTTTTATTCAAAGATCACCATCCTGTAGAGCCACAAAATGAGCAGATATTTGCAACATTAGAATCCACAATGAAGGGGAAAAAAACCCTTATAATCCAAAATAAAGAACTACAAATCAAAAAAAATAAAATCATGGACAAACCAATAATTATAAGAAGAAGACAAAAAGACTTGAACAGGCACCAAAAAAAGGGAAATCCAAATGGACAAACATATGAAAAGATGCCCCATCCCAATAGTAATCAAGAAAATGCAAACTTAGTTACAATGAGCTGCTTCACCAGATGGCGAAAAATACAACAGATGACAATACCAAGTGTGGAACAGCAGAAATACAGTCTCTCATACACCACCTATGGGAATAAAATGGGTAGAATCACTTTGGAGTACAGTTTGGCATTAAGGTAAAGGTAAAGATGCTTTACTCTAAGACCTGGCAGTTTTACTCCTAGGTAACTACAGAGCATATGTGCAACAGGATCCAAGTGAAAGAAGGTAGCAGCACTACCCATAACCTCCAAAAATGGAAATCAGACCAATGTCTACCAACAATGAAATCTACTATATTCAATAATGGAATACTATGCAGCTCAGAAAACACACAGGTATACGCCACAACATTTATGAATCTTACAAATATAACGTTGAGAAAAAACAACAGAAAGAACACATACAATACTATTCTATTTCTGTAAAGTGTAAAAACAGGCAAGAAAAACTGTATTATTAAGGATGACAGCATTAGTACTAAAACTGAAACTGTAAAGAAGATCAAGGAAGTGATCCGCATGCAAGTTAGGACTCTAGTTATCTCTGGTAAGAAAGAAAGGAATAATGACAGAGAAAGGAGGCATCAGAGGCTTTGGGGATAATGCTCTTTCTTGACTTAGCAAGGTCTCTACCTGGGTGTTCTCTTTTTAATCAGCTGTGATACTGCATATTGACATTTTACGCACTTGTGAGTAAAGAGCCTGGACTGAAGCAAACCTACTTAGGAATAATGCAGGTGTCCATCTACTCACAGAACTGTTTATTGGAATCTACTTAAAATAACTGTAGCATGTTCTACCTGCCTATCTCCTGTATTGGGTTATATTTGGATTACGGAACTTTTAGCGGGCATGAAGGACTGGGGTCGATGTGACTAAAACGGTATACAAAATTGAGGGGAGGGGCACTTGGGGGCTTAGTCGGTTGAGCGACTGGTTCTTGGTTTTGGCTTGGGTCATGATCTTGGGGTCATGAGATCAAGCCCCAAGGAGGGCTCTGTGCAGAATGTGGAGCCTGTTTGAAATTTTCTCTCTCTCCCTCTGCCCCTCCCCCCACTTGTATGCTCTCACATGCACACGTGCTGTTTCTCTCAAATAAATAAATAAATCTTAAAGAAAAAAAAAATTGGGGGGAAATCCAGGCCACAGTTTCTCAGTGTTAAGACCTTGGCTCTTGTCCACAACAGCCATACATGCTCCAAAGAGCAAAAGAAGTTATATACTTGGGTAGCTGAGAGGCTTGCTGAGATGAAGATGTTATACCTGCTGTATTTTCTGTCCTGTACCCTTTTGTAAAGCTAAGTGTAAGAGTATCACATTAAAGCCTATTTGTACCTTGTGAGTCTCACTGCCAATTCAAACCCATCATTTTGTGGTGTGTTAAAGTTCACAATAAAAAAAAAGTTCAGAAAGAGAAAAAGAGGCAAGAGAGGAACAGATATTGGCTGTTATGGGTTGACTGTGTCCCCCACAAATTCTCCCTAGCAGAAGTCCTAGCAGCCAGTACCTTAGAATGTGGCCTTATTTGGAAATAGGGCCATTACATTTGTAGTTGGTTAAGATGAGGTCATTAGGGTAGGTTCTAATCCAATATGACTGGTATCCTTATAAAAAGGGTATATTTAGACACAAACATATGCACATAGGGAGAACACAATTCAAATATGAAGGTAAAGATCAAGGTGATGCTTCTGAAGCCATGACAAGGAACACCAAAGATTGCCAGCAAACCACCAGAAAATACCAGAGGAGCATGGAATAGATTCTCCCTCACAGCCTCAGAAGGAACCAACCCTACCAACACCTTGATCTCGGACTTCCAGTCTCCAGAAACACAAAACAAAAATCTTCTGTGGCATAAGTCACCTGGTTTGTGATACTTTGTTAGGGCAGTCCTAGCAAAGTAACACAAGCTTTAAGCTGTAAATCACTAAGGTTAGTTAAGTTAGCAAATCAAAACCCTTAAAAATTTCTGGCCTAACTTGAAAAGAGAAGTTTTTGAAACAGTTTACAACCCATTTCAGAAACAGGGAAAACCAAAATAAAAGCAATACACTAAAACAGTTCATGTTAAATGACTGAAGTTTCTGAATGATAAATTTTCTGAAGTGTTATCAGGTTTCCTTGACATAAGGAACTAGGTCTCCAATGCTCAATAAACTGGGACAAATAGGACCCCTAACAAATTTCTCACACCCACTCTTGTGTTTTTTCAATATGCCAACCTAATCTTACTTTTTTGGGTATTTGCTCACATTCCAGTTTTACTTCCCATTTTATTTTCTCTTCTTGTGTTTCTTCAACTTCTGTATCATCTATTCCATCATCGATTCTGCAACAAAAATATCAAATAACACAAGAGAGTTTTTTCAACCTGAAAATGGTTCATACCACAGCATTAAAATTCATGGCTTTGGCTTATCTTCTACGTGCCCTTAAAAAAAATTCCAAATTCAAATTCTACTCCAAATACTCCAAGGAATAATGTACAAATTTATGATGAGCAATACACATCAACATGTGTTTGTAAGTAAACCATAAAGCTGAAATTTTAGATTACATAACCTTCACATTCTAATCTCAGGAGCTATATAAACCACCCACTGATTTATCACTCCATTCATTCAACAAATACTGAGTATCCGCCATATACCAGGCTGTAGGCCTTAAATCTCGAGATACAACAATGAAAAAGACCTTGTCCCTGCCTTCTGAGAACTTTCTATGTGCTTGGGAGAAAAAAAATAAAGCAATTTTAATATAGTATGATAAGCACAGGAACACTTAACCTAGATTTGGGGGCCAAGGATCTTCTAAGCTTAAAAGATATGTAAGATTTAGCAAACAGTGGCGCCTGGCTGACTTAGTAGAGCATGTGAATCTTGATCTCCAGGTTGTGAGTTTGAGCCCCACGTTGGGTGTAGGGATTACTTAAAATAAATAAATAAATAAATAAATAAACTTTTTAAAAAAGTTAGCGGGGCTCCTGGGTGGCTCAGTCGGTTAAGTGTCTGCTCAAGTCATGATCCCAGAGTCCTGGGATTGAGCCCGGAGTCAGGCTCCCTGCTCAGCAGTCTCTCTCCCTCTCCCTCTGCCCCCCCCCACTCTCTCTCAAATAAATAAATAAAATCTTTAAAAAAGGGAGAATAGTAGTTCAGGTAGAATGCAAGGTGCCCTTCAAGGTCAGGAGAGCCTAAGTTATATTCAAATAGGAAGATGAAAAAGAAAAGTTGTTTCCAGACTCGGAAGGACTGAGAAGTTAACACGCAGACATTGTCAGAGACAACTTAAGGATATTCTACAAAAACTAAAAATGAACCCAAGAAGGATGAAGATGGGAAGGTGGTAAGAAAAGATGTCACTGAAATTTATAGGTAAATCTAAATAACGGCTTACACCATAAAATACAGGGGGCTGAAAGCAATTATGTCTGGACAAGTAGTGACTACTGAATAAAAGCTTAAGATAGGAGTCACATGCCGGATAAAGGTAAGGAATAGGCAATGAGCACATTCTCAAAAAAACATGTTACAAATGGAATGCACTACTAGCAAAAGAATGTGAATAGTGGGTCTGAGCTTCCTGCAAAGTTATAGGAGGGGTTCAGGCTTCACAGCCTCATCCGATTCAACAGTTTACCACTGTGTCCCTAGTCAGAGCCTCAGAGCTTTGTCTATCAGATAAGGCACCAAGTTGTGAGTCTCTACAGAAGCCATCACAAGAGCCAGTAAGCCAAACACAGTGAACCTTCATTGCTCCAGTTATCAGTAATGAATCATCTTACGGAGTAGGAAGCAACCTCTCCTGAGGCAAAGCAATAATGACAATAATGACTACAAGAGCAGTAACAGCAGGGCGCCTGGGTGGCTCAGTCGGTTAAGTGTCCGCCTTCCGCTCAGGTCGTGATCCCAGGGTCCTGGGATGGAGTCCAGCATTAGGCTCCCTGCTCAGTGAGAGCCTGCTTCTCCCTCTCCCTCTGCCTGCCTCTCTGCCTACTTGTGCTATCTGTCAAATAAATAAAATCTTAAAAAAAAAAAAAAAAAGAGCTGTCTTATGCTTACCATATGCCAGAAGCGATTCCATGCATGTTACCCACATCACAACAGCCTATGACATACGTACTGGTGGTTAAAAGCCCATTTTACAGATGAGAGAACTGAATTACAGAAAGCTTATAAAACTTGCCACACACCTACTTAACTGGTAGAGCTGAGATTTGAGCCCAGACAGGGAAAGCCAACTTCCTAGTCAACACATACACCTGGATAGCTATTTGACATATTTTTAATAGAGCCCAAACTGAACTCTTGACCTAATCCTCCTGTTATTTTTTTTTTAAGATTTCATTCATTTATTTGAGAGTGTAAGAGAGTGCACACAAGCATGAGCGGCAGGAAGGGCAGAGAGAGAGGGAGAAGCAGACTCCCTGCTGAGCAGGAAGCCCAATGCCAGACTCCATCCCAGGACCGTGGGATCATGACCTGAGCCGAAGGCAGACGCTCAACTGAGCCACCCAGGCACCCCTCTCCTGTTATTTTAAACAGCAGCTCGACCCTTCTAATGATACTGACCCAAAACTCTGAAGTAACTTAGACTCCTCTTTCATATCCTCAATCCAATCTGTGACAAAATCCAGTTTATCTTCAAAATACATCCATTATTTGGCCACTTCTTGCTACTGATACTATGATCCAAGCTACTCTTGCCATTACATTCCACTCAACACAACCACAATGACCCTGCTAAAATGTCACTCTCTGTTGCAAACCTTCCAACAGCCTTTCATCTCGTTCAGGGTAAAAGCCAAAGTCCTTCTTATGGCACCTACAAGTCCCTACATGATCTGCCTCCCTGACCCTATCCCCGAGTACCTCTCAGCTCCTACTTCTCTTCAAGTCCTGCTACTCTAACTCCATTCCAGCTGTCATTCTGCCCACTTTCCTCCCATCACCTAATCACACCATGCTCACTCCACCTCAAGACCTTTATACGGACCTTTATATTCTCTGCTGGAAATCAACCCTCCTCACCTCTCTACTCAAATATTACTTATCAGTGATATTACTGAGGCTTTCTTTAACTACCTTCTTTAAAATACCTACATTCTCCCTACCATCCCATCCTCCCTTCCTATCCTCCTACCCAGCTTTCATCTTCTCCATGGCACTTATCATCACCTAAAATACTATCTATGCATTGTCTGTGCTGCAAGAATATAAATCTCGTAAATATGGAGATTTTTATCTCTTTATTTATTGCTATAGTCCCAGGGCCTAGGATAATGGCAGCTGCTCAAGAAATGAGTAAACCCATTATAAAATTACTAGGAAAAAACCCACAAACCATAAAAGCTAGATTCCTATGACCTTATTTAAAACATACAAACAGGGGCGCCTGGGTGGCTCAGTTGGTTAAGCATCTGCCTTCGGCTCGGGTCATGATCTCAGGGTGCTGGGAACAAGCCCCACATTGGGCTCCCTCCTCTCTCTCTGCCTACTTGTGCTCTCCATCAAATAAATAATAAAAAATAAAAATAAATTAAAACAATAAAACAAAAAAACCCTTTATGCAATGAAAATGCCGTAAGCAGAGTCAAAAGACAACAAATCAGAAGTAAAATATCTGCAGACTAGAGTTCCTAAAATTTTAAGAGAAGGACCAATGAAGAGAAAAACAGGCAAAGGATATGAACAAGGAACAGTTCACAGATGCTCTCTATACTTCAATACCATTCTACACCTAACATTTGGGCAAAAATCCAGAAGTGCATTTTATGTAGTTCAGTCAAGTTTTTGTGAATAGAATCTTATATCCAACACATTTTCAAATTGATAGATGCTATTGTTAACATGCGGCTATTGTCTTGTGATGATTCACCTTGCTAAATTAATGGTTTATTAACGTTCCTCTTGTTTTCTTTTGTAGGTGGAGCATATCATATGCAAGTAACTAGTGTCTTTGTCTCTTTTCAATATTTATAGATCTTATTTTATGTTAGTCACTTTTGCCTTAGAAGCACAGAAATCAAATCATGGGTAACTTAGTTCTAGTTTTGCCACTTATACTGTGCAATCTTGGCAAGTTATTTATCCTCTCTGTGCCTCAATTTTCTCATCTGCAAAAACAAGGACAGTATCTTTTCTTCAAGGTTAAGATTAAATGACATATTTCATGTAAAGCACTTAGTAAAACTCTTGATGGTAGCCTGAATTAAGGTAATAGTTTTAATTAAGGTATCTGAGATAAAGTGAACAGATTTGAAAGATATCGGGAGGTAAAAATTAACCAGAATAAGCGATATACTGAGATTGAGAGAAATAAAGGAACAAAAGGCTGTGTGTCTCGGTTTCAGCTTAAGGAAATTGGGGAAAACCACACAGGTTTAGAAGTTAGTTTTTAGCACTTCAAACAGAAAAAAAAAAAAAGTAAACGAATATGTGAGTGTAAAGAAACTACACTATACACGTCTCTAAAAATGAGATCAATAAACTATCACCATTTGGCCAGCGGCGTCAGTTCCTTTCTCAACCTAAAGGAAACGTTACACCCAAATCGTGTTTGCTGCTTTATTATATTATGGTCTTTAGGGTCTTCTGATGCAAATCAATGAACTAAAGGCAAACTATTCACTATTTACCCTCCTTGCTTAATGAACTTAGGGTTTCGGATTTTTCTAAAAAAAAAAGTGTTTAGCATGTGTCAATGAGAAATGACAAATGATCTGTCCTCTAGGAGCTGACGGTCCGGTGCAAGGAAGAGTACTGTGGAAACACACGGAGGTTTCTAACCGGATCTAAAGGGTCAGGAGCGCAGAGAAAGGGGAGCCTCCCAAGATCGCCGCCTGAACCCCCGCTGCTCCCCTCAAGTAGGGTCCCGGCACCTCTCCCCGTGGCAGCTTACGAAAGGAACCTCATTGCCGGCTTCCATCCCCGGCGGCCCCAGAGCGACCTCTCCACGTCCGACCCCCGTGCCTGCAAGGCGGACCCCATACGCTCGCCCACGCACTCCCCGAGCTACCCAGCGGTGTGGCCCACACGCGGCCCCGGCAGCCTCCAATGGAACCAAAAGGCGGAACCCGGCTGGAGCCCCTGCGATCAAAGCATGAAAAGATGGGGAATCACCTTTCATCAAAGTCCGTGGTCGGTTTTTTACCCAGGGCCGGGTTGGGAGGTTTGGAGAAAAGATTCTCAAAATCCATCACCCTCGCGAGAGCCCCGCAGCTAGAGTATAACAACCACCGCGTGAGGAGGAGGGACCCAGAACCGCGCGCAGGCCACAGGTCGCCCCGCGCATGCGCCGCCCCGCCCCCCGCGCACGCCCGCTCCCTCCTTCCCCGCGGCTCTGCGCAGGCGTCGCTCTGCGTTATTTTAGGTGCGCTTATTGATCTCTTCTCCAATATTTATTAGAATTTTTAGTCCTTGGAAGTCTCCTTTCTTTCACTTTCATTAGGGGTAAGTGGGCATCCCAAATGGAGAGAATTGTATCAAGGCAGGAAAATAGAGCACACATTTGGGAAACGGAACTGTTGAGTTTTGCTTACTCTAATGCCTGTGGAAGAGGGGAAATTGTAGGAATAATGAAAGTCTCAAACAGTTGGCTCTGCCGGTGACATCGAACCTGACTGGCTCCTACTAGTGTTTGATTCCCGGCATGAATCAGGGTCCACTTCCCAGACAAGCAAAGGGAAGTTGTACTTTGTCCTATTACAGGCAATCCTTTTTTGGACCTGAATCATTAATAAAAATTGAGAGGAAAATTGAAATGAATTAAGGTATTACCCCATTTGGAGGAAAGTACTATATTACAGAATTCAGATTATTATCATACATACATTTTCATATAAAAAGTCCAGTATACAGCAAAAGATAACTAGGCCACGGAAGGAAATGAAAATGATAGGTAAAAAGCCGCAAACAGCGAGAAATACTGACCTGCAAAGGCATCAGATACTAGCCTTTTCAGATAAAGACTATAAAAGGCAAAGTATGTTTGTGGTAGATTTGTTACAGGACAGAGACCACTGGCCTTGAGGAGTGAAGGACCAAACTTCCGGAAGATAAGGCCTACTACATTTGAAAACAGGTGCTGCTGATGGCAGCAAGTCTATTCAGGGTCATTTCAACATACCACTAAGCATCTGGGCACCTGCTTCTGCTCGTAGCCCCCCGCCCTCCCTTTTCCCCTTGCCTTCCGCTTTAAAACCCTCCAGCTTCACCTGGACAGGGAAGATGGTCTTTGAAACATATGTCAACTGTCTGCAAATCTCAAGGAAAGTAGGCTGGTTCTGCTATAGACCAAGGGACTTAAGTCAGCAAGCAAGAAGTACGTAGGCTTGAAGCCAAGTTAGCTCTTAAGACTGATTGCAGTGCTTTTACAGATTGATTTTTAAAGTTGGGCCCAATTCTCTCTCTTTTCCTATATCCACATTGTGTGCAATGTGACTTTGTAGCTCTTCCCATCAAGTGGTGGGATCTGTTTCACCTCCTCTTTAATCTGAGTTGAATTTGTAACCTACTTTTGCTAATAGAATGCAGCAGAAAAGGCCTGCCAATGCCAAGCCGGGGCCCTAAGAGGACATGCGTCTGTCTGCTCTCTCTTGAACTCTGGCCTTCTCCAGAACAACAAGCCCAGGCCACCTTGCTGAAGAAAAGGGAGAGATATGTGGAGGATAAGGCAAAAGGAGGAGAGCAACAACACCCAGTCAACAGCCAGCAAAACCCTAAAAGCAAAGCCGCCAAGTCAACACACAGCTGACCACAGAAACACAGGGGAGCCCAGTGGAGAACTGAAGAACCTCCCAGATGATCCCAGTCCAAACTGCTGACCAGCATTGTAAGCTAAGTAAATAATTGTCTTAAGCCACCAAGTTTTAAAAGTAATTTATTATGCAACAAAACCTGATAAAAAGGAAACTATAAAAAGTGACATTAAGGAGCTGAAAAAGAACGAAGTAGAGCTTTTAGAAGTTAAAAATATGATACTGACATTAAAAACTCAATAGATGGTATGGTACTCTTAAAATGTGTTCACAAATTCTTTAACACTTATCCCTTCAAAAGATGGAGGCTGTTCTCCTCTCCTTAAATGTGAACTAGATCCAGTGACTTCTAACATACACAGTTTTAGATGGTGCCCGACTTCTGAGGCTAGGTGGTAAAAAGTACTGCAGTTTCTGCCTTCCTCTCTTGAATTGCCTACCTGAAGGGAAGTCAGTCACCATGTCAGAAAACACTTGTGAAAAGTCAACCATGTGAGTGAGCCACCTTGGAAGCTGATCCGCCAGTGCCTCTCCAACCTCATAAGAGACTCTGGGATAGAACCACCCGGCTAATATTTCCTGGATTCCTGATCCAAAAAAGAAAAAATAAGAAGATAAAAGTTTATGTTACTGGACTCGGGCCTTTGGACCCAGCAATGGTAGAAATGAGGCTGGATCCAAAATTTACAAACACAGGCAAGGCTTTGTTATAGGGGCAACAGCTGCAGCTGAAGGGAGACACAGTCATGACAAAGGAGTCAGACTGGCTCTCTGAACAATAACCAGGGAAACTTTTAAAGAGGCTGAGGCAGGAAAAGAGTGATGTTTAAGCATGTAGGGGCAGGGAATGCCAGGAAATTGGGGGCATAGGCTCAGTTGACGAAATATGCTTCTTCATATATCATATGTTTCATTTGCATGTTGTCTCCACCTCTGGGTATGTGTTTTAGCATAATAATAAGGGGAAAAGTCAGTGAAAGGTACATTTGCTGCCCATTTTATCTCAGACTAGTCTGAACCTGGTCTAGGCTTGTTCCTTGGCTAGTGCTTTGCTCTGCAAGAAAAAGCGGTAACAGCCTACAGGTTGCTCTGCAAGAGAAGTTATTACTTCTCATACATATGGAATATTAATGTTTTTACTAAATAACATGATTTATTTTCCTTTTAACTTTTATTAATAATTTATTATTATTTAATAATTGGGTAGGTAGAGTCCCAGGTGCATTGGGGCTTGTTCCCAAGGTCCCTGTCTCATTTATGGTTTGTTTTTTTTTTTAAGATTTTATTTATTTATTTGAGAGAGAGAGAGCACAGAGGGAGAGAGACAGGGAGAAGCAGACTCCCCGCTGAGCAGAGAGCCCAACGCGGGACTTGATCCCAGGACCCTGAGATCATTACCTGAGCCAGAGGCAGCCACTTAACTGCCTGAACCACCCAGATGCCCCTCATTTATGTTTTATGTTTTATTTTTTTTTAAGATTTTATTTATTTATTTGAGAGAGAGTGAATGAGTGAGAGAGAGGGGAGGGTCAGAGGGAGAAGCAGACTGCCTGCTGAGCAGGGAGCCCAATGCGGGACTCGATCCCGGGACCCCAGGATCATGACCTGAGCCGAAGGCAGTCGCTTAACCAACTGAGCCACCCAGGTGTCCCCCTCATTTATGTTTTAAACCACAAAGTTTTCAGATAATTTGCTATGTAGCAATAAATAAGATGCCCCTATCATTATAAAGCAGCTGGCCTAAACATAGAATTATATGACCCAGCAATTCTACTCCTAGGTATATACCCCAAAGAATTGAAAACTGGGATTGAAACAGATATGTGCATACTCCTATTCATTGCAGCATTATTCACAAGAGCCGATAGGTGGAAACATCCCACGTATTGGATAAATCATGGAATATTATTCAGCCATAGAAAGGAATGAAATTCAGACACATGCTACAACACGATGAACCTTGAAAACAGTATGCTAAGTGAAATAAGCTGGGCTCAAAAACATAAATACTGTATTTCCGCTTATATGAGGTGTTTAGAATGGGCAAATCAGAGAGACAGATTAGAGGCTTTCAGTGCTGGGAAAGGGGGAAATGGGAGTTATTGCTTGATGGTTACAGTTTCTTTTAGGGGCAGTGAAAAAGTTTGGAAGCAGACAGTGATCCTTGCACAGCAGGGTGAATGTAGTTAATGCCACTGAATTGTCACTTCAAAATGATTAAAATGGCAAATTTTGTATCATATATAGTTCACCACACACAAAAAAGCAACTGACATAAGATGGAGGAATGGTCTTTTGAGTACCAGTTTCAGTACTAGCTAGATGCAAAGTACACGTTTTGTGGACATATGCTATAAATCAGCAATCAATAATATGGTGCTGTTTCTCCCTTAGCCAGAATTTATGGACCTGGGAATCAAACCATGGAAATGAGAGTGGACCCTTCCTTTATTATCCCTGTGATACCCTAGTAAAAGTCTTCCTTTTTTTTTTTTTTTTAATTTTTACTTCTAATCCCCAAAACTTCGAGTTCTGATCGTCAAGAGCAGAGTTTTTCAACCTCAGCATTTTGACATTTTGGGCTGAGTAATTGACAGTCCTGTGCATAATAGGATGTTTAGCAGCATCCCTGCCCTCTCCCCACTAGATCCCCTGTTGACACCTTTATATTTGTGTGCATTAAGGGTGGGAATGATTGTCAAAGATAAACAAAGCCAGACATTAAAGTAGCAAAAACAGATTTTATTCAGAAACTATTGACTGAAGGTAAAGGGCTGAACTCCATTCAGATTGTGTAGAGGTGACTGGGTGTTTTAAAGGGAGAATGAAATAACATATAATTCAATTTACATGAAATGTTCAAAAAGGCTAATCTATAGAGACAAGAAAGTAGATTATCAGTTGCCTGAGGCATAGGTGGCAAGACAGGATTCATTGTAAATAGGCACTTACAGGGATGGAATGTTCTGAAACTGAATGTTGGTGATGGCTGCATTACTTGGCAAATTTACTAAAAGTCATTAAATTGTACACTTAAAATGTGTAAATTTTCAGGTATATGCTTTTATATCAATAAAGCTATTTTTAAAAAAATTAAGGGAGGGGCACCTGGGTGGCTGAGTCATTAAGTGTGGGAGAATGAGAAGTGGGCTATCTGATTAGCTACAGTAAGACCTAATTAAGTAAAATAGTTAAAATAGACAAAGACCTAGAGAGTCTAATCTAACTCCCAAATGCTAATTATTGTTACTCCAGACAAAATAGATCTGCTTTTTGAAAGTTTAATAATGTATTATGTCGAAATGTGGCAAGTGCCTGCAGGATTGTCTATAGGTAAGTGTGCAGGTCTTGTCAATGGCTGCATTCAACTTTAAAAAAAAAGTGCGATTTCTTTACCAATGTACATATCTAATTTTTTATTTTTCAATTTAATTTACTAATTGCGATTGCTTCTGAATGCACTGCATTTATGCATTGGTCAAATGCATTCACTACCACAAAGTTAGATATCTG